ACTGTAACGCTAGGGCTAAATACAGGTTTTTCATTCAGTTACTTTTTCCTAGGCCTGTTGCCAATCAAGTCTATCAAAACCAATCTGTCATGATATTTATCCATAGCTGGGGGGAGAAGAAAGGGATTCATAACTTTTCCAAGGATATTAGCACCTAAGTGAATGCATTGGATCCGACTGGAATTTTTCGATTTCCAATTCCGAGCCGCTATCCATTATTTCATCGGGTCTCATAGCTAATAAAAGAGACATGACTCATCAAGATCTTGAAGTGACATACCATATATATATATATATATATATATATATATATATATATATATATATATATATATATATATATATATATATATATTATAAATTAACTGGTTAAAAAATATGGTTCCTTCACTACACAGGAATAACCATGTTCCAAAGACAGAAACTAACAACTTCAAATTCAAATATTTAATTAAATTAAAAGCACTAATTCTGTTTTATTTTCAAGCGAATTTTAGAATAACTTATTTTGAAATTTAATGAGTTTTAAAAGCACATGCATTCATAATATTTGTTTTCAAGGATACAGAGAAATCTAATCATTTAGACAGAGGAGGTAGCGTGTTCATTTTTATTAACAAGTATTGTATCAAATATGAGTTACTTTCGAAAAGAGGTTAAGTCTAGGTAGGGCAGGGGTGCATATATATATATATATATATATAATTATTTATTCGAAAATTATAACATAAATATGTTAATAGCCATTTTATAAAATATTTATGTTATAATTTTCGAAAAAATAATTATATTTGCTCTACTCTCTCTTTCTCTCTCTCTCTCTCTATATATATATATATCGGGGTTGAATGAATAGTTTTCGTCGGTTGAAATAAATCTATCCTCTCCCATAAGTGGTAATTTTGAATTTTTAAAATTTTACTATATATATATATATATATATATATATATATATATATATATATATATATATATATATATATATGTGTGTGTGTGTGTGTGTGTGTGTGTGTGCAAATATAGAAAATAGGAAAGAATCGTTATGTTAAAAATCTAAAGATTAATTAATTAAGTTAATAATACAGAGGTACTTGCACGTAAGTCTGGACAAACGCTTAAACCCTCAGTCACGATGATTTGTGATTTCGTGCTAGCACAATTATCGATGGCTCACAGTTCTGTATATATTTGATGAATAATTCCGGTTTCTAAATGATTGGATGCATGCATACAGATTTTTTGTTTCAACCTTTGGAAGTAAAGTCTGATGATCCGCAGTCATTCAAAAGGGCTGTGGTGAAATAATTTATTACATGGAACCTTAAAGTGGTCTGTTTTATTTTATATTATATATATATATATATATATATATATATATATATATATATATATATATATCCTTTTAATATATATATATATATATATATATATATATATATATATATATATATATATATATATTATGGCAAGGAATAAGCGGAATGTAAAGGACATAATTATGAAAACTAAGAACTAAAACAAAAACTGGTTTCGTCCCAGTACTCCTCAAGTTTGATACACTGGGAATATTTAATCATAAACTTAAAAAACAAAAAAACCAATTGAATGAGGTGGAAAGGGAAATTTTTTTTTTTATATATGATAGAAAGAACTAGAGCCCAATCACATTCAAGCCCAACAAGCAATCTCTCTGCTTACAGAGAAACGGCCTGCGGGACTTGATGTAAATGGACTCAGAACCCTCAAATGATATGCAGAGTGTGACTTCACCAGAATGGAAAACAGTCAACACTCAAACCAGCAACACATTCCCTGCTTCATTTATAGCGTGTTCCGCTATAGATGACCCGGATGTATTCACTAGTTGGCTTTTGTTAGCGGCCGGATTTAAAATTCTGGGGGGTAAATGTTGTTTAATTCTAAAATCCAAACGCTGATACGTATGTAGGTATATAGGTATATATATATATATATATATATATATACGTGCTAATACCCTTGGTAAAGGTATGAATCCTCTTCCTCTCCTTCCAGCTATGGGTAAAATACCAGGACAGACTGGGTTCTATAGCCTTGGATGGCAACTGGTCTAGGAGAAGGACAACTCTGAATTGAAAAACCTGCGGAGGGTCGTTTGGGAACTTTATGGCACTCAGTGCACCAGGTCTCTGTATTCGTCCCTTCAAAAAGTGTGGATGGTCCTGCACGAGGCCTTCACCACTATAATCAAATCTCATGTGCCGTTGTCGGGCTGTCGGTTTCATGGAAACTGGATCTGTTTGACCCTCATACGTCGAATCTCGACGGAGAGTCGATTATATATATATATATATATATATATATATATATATATATATATTGTTTGAATAAAAACATTTTTTAACTTTAAGGTTCCATGTAATAAGTTATTTCACCATAACCCTTTAAATGGGCTCTGGATCATCAAGTAAAAGACTTTACTTTAAAAAAGGTTGAAATAACCTTCATTTCAACCTTGTTTTTATTCAAACATATTGGCTCTGAATTTTACATTGTGCTCTCCGGATATCATCCTTCTTGGGTCTACCCATGCGGATTACCTAGTTTTGCATAAACTATATATATATATATATATATATATATATATATATATATATATTGAATTAAAGAATCGAAACCAGAATTATTTTGCCCTACTGCTATTGTGATATGGATAAATACATTTTCCTAGCTCGGTCAGATCACCAATTACCTTGTAAAATTCCGTGTTTATGGTATCAGTCAGTTAAATGTCATTTTGATACACGGTTAGGCGATCATGTATCTTTCGATACATGACTGACGAGGCAGATTTTTTTCCTGCGGTAGGTTGCCATTTCTTTCTGCGGTAGATCAGTTGCCATCCAAGGCAATAGAACTCAGTTTGCCCTGCTACTTACCCATAGCTGGCGGCGGGTGGGGGGAGAAGAAGATTCATATCTTTCCCAAGGGTAAGTGAATGCAATGGATTCAAAGTAAGGTATACTGCGATATAAAAGACTCAATAGCATTATAACAGCTCCTTTTCCATCAATAACTATAAAATATCGTTGCTCACGTACTCAAACTTATATATATATATATATATATATATATATATATATATATATATATATGTATGCATGTAAAGCGAGGGAGTGAGAGGGAGGAGAGTAGTGGAGAGATGTAGATTGGAAAATATGTAAATAAAACATTATTTTGAAAAGCAGATGTGACATATTTTGTTTCATCGCGTGGAACATGTTATTCAGCAATTGTTTATAGAGATCGAGTTTATAAGTAATTACTATTAAAATATCTTAGATTGATATATAGATACCAACATGGTGTGAGAGAGAAAGAGAGAGGGAAGGGGGAAAATAAAAAAATATTTACATTAGTGCACATTTAGATGCAAAGAGGCAGATGAATACGTAAATCTGAAGAAACGTGAATAGTCAAGAAGCAATAGATAGGAACAGGTAAATAGAGAAAAGCAGGTAGATAGCTGACGGATTAAGTACTAACAGACTGAGATAGATAGATAGATAGATAGATAGATAGATAGATAGATAGATAGATAGATAGATGAAGAAGGAAGAGATAGATAGATAGATAGATAGATAGATAGAATAGATAGATAGATAGATAGATGAAGAAGGAAGAGATAGATAGATAGATAGATAGATAGATGAAGAAGGAAGAGATAGATAGATAGATAGATAGATAGATAGATAGATAGATAGATAGATAGATAGATGAAGAAGGAAGAGACAGATAGATAGATAGATAGATAGATAGATAGATGAAGAAGGAAGAGGTAGATAGATAGATAGATAGATAGATTAAGAAAGAGATAGATAGATAGATAGATAGATAGATAAGGAAGGAAGAGATTGTGATAGATAGATAGATAGATAGATCCAAACAGCCTGAGATAGATAGATAGATAGATAGATAGATATGAACAGAATCAGATAGATCCATAGAGAGATACATAGATACATACATAGATAATTAACTAGATGAGATAGATAGAGATGTGCAAACTGTGCTATATATATATATATATATATATATATATATATATATATATATATATATATATATAGAACATGCACATACCCACTACAAAACTGCACATCTTGTTTCAACGTGAATCGGCTCTACTTTAGTATTGAGCTCTGTTTTAATTTAACGTTTTGAACGCTGAAATCTTACGCTTCATTCTTTTACATTCGGATATATATATATATATATATATATATATATATATATATATATAGATAGATAGATAGATAGATAGATAGATATATATATATAGATAGATAGATAGATAGATATATAGATAGATAGATAGATAGATAGATAGATATGATCAGATAGATAATGAAAACAGAGTGAGATAGATACATACATGTATAAATATATAATTAGACAGATAATGAACAGACTGAGATATATAGATATGAACAGGCTCTGATATATATATATATATATATATATATATATATATATATATATATGTATATATGTGTGTGTGTGTGTGTGTGTGTGTGTGTGTTTAGGCAGCAATCCTTCTTTCATGCACATTTCATTGAAAACGACAGACAAGGTTCTTTTATTTAGTTTTTTATACAATTTCTCATGTGATCTAATAATTTTTTTCGGGTGATAAATTATATTAAAACTGCCCGAATGATCTTTTTATCCTTACGCTTTCGGCTTTACATTTAGCCATTTTCATGGATTATATTTTAACTGTAAAAATTAGAAATAGTTTGCTGTGTGTATGTTTTATCAAATGTTTTCATTTTTTTTTCTTTCAAAACACGGTCAAGATATTATGTCCATGTTCGAAGTTAATATTATTAAGTGTTGGTTTGTTTGTTTTTATTAATAAGGCTTCCATTATTTTTAGCCTTTTTTTGCATGTAGATGATGCTATTATATTAGTGTTGTCAACAATTATGTTACGAATAGATAGATAGATACTGAACAGACTAAGATAGATAGATAGATAGATAGATAGATAGATAGATAGATAGATAGATAGATATGAACAGACTGAAATAGACAGATAATGAACAAAGACTGAGATAGATAAATACATACATGTATAAATATATAATTAGATAGTTAATGAATAGACTGGGGTAAATAGATATGAACAAATATATATATATATATATATATATATATATATATATATATATATATATATATAGAGAGAGAGAGAGAGAGAGAGATAGAAGCATAGACACGAATCGATACTACGAGTGTGAAAGAGAAACACAGAGAAACAGAGCGAAAGAAAGTGGGTAGACAACAGTTAACTTTTAGATAGGTAACAGTATGCATGAGAAAACACATTTGATCTTCCTCTGCCCACAAAATGTAAGTCAACATAACTTTGGACTTATAGGCGCATATGAAGATAACCTGGCGTGAATGTATATAAATTTCCAGTCGGCTGAATTGATATTTGATCATATCAGCTAGTTGAGAGAGAAACTCCGTTATTCAACAATAAATCGATTGTACACACGGACACACAAACACAGAAGTACACGGCTTCACTGACTTTCTAACGAGCACCACCCACTACTGAACCGTACGTAAAAGTAAAGACAATAATCAAACATTACTTGGCACTTTTGCATACTTCTTCCTATTAGACAAAGAGATCAAGCAAGCTGCTACCATCTTTTTTTACTTTAGAATGCGCGTGCCCCTACGACGTACTTGGTCAGTCTATGTGGAGAGATACCGTCGTCCAAAAAATGTAGATGTCGTTGTACGTTGAATTATGAGTTTTTCTCTGCGTAAAGGAGGTAGTTTGGTCTGAAGAAATGGAACCTGCGAAATGCCTACCCAGTCGTAAACGTGACTATTTAAACGTAAAAAAAAGAAGAGGGTTTGATATGGTAATGGTGTATCATTATTATTATTATTATTATTACGAATCCTGTTTGCCAGTTAAAATTCCACCCACCTTAAAAATAGGTAAACTATGAGCCGAAAGCGCCCGAAAAAAACAGCGCGTTGGATAATTTCCTCACGTTCATTCTTTAAAGAGAAAGCTTGTAAGGTCGCAAGAAAAATTAAATAAAACTCACAAGATATTCCTTGTAAGATTAGAATCATGCCTGAGAGTGCAATATCCTTATTCTCTGGAATGCACAAGTAATATATATATATATATATATATATATATATATATATATATATATATATAAAAGTGAACATAGAAGTCAACACTTAAAGGCGACAGTCTGTTTCATGCTAGACACAATCGTCAGGGTGGTCTGTTTCATGCTAGACGCAATCGTCAGGCCATATATGTATATATATATATTAATCCATATCGCATTCTCTGACAAAACTTTAATAAAAGCGAAACATGTTAGATTGATAAATGTTCCCTATTTGTTCATTAACTTATCATTCGGTCGAAAACCGATCCATATTCGATTGGTATTTGATCCCAACTCAAATATATCTATCTATCTATCTATCTATCTATCTATCTATCTATCTATATATATATATATATATATATATAATTACAAGAGCATATACAACTATATGATAAGAACTAAAAGATGCAGAAATTAAAACAAATATCTATGAATACGATGGATTAGTCATACATAGAAATAAATTCAACCACAACATTGATCTAATTATTGTCATACTTATAAAAAGAGAAAGTAATTTACTTGGTGCATTCTTAAGAATTCTCCGTAATTTACAGGAGACTTTTCATCTAGCCTGATGAATATTTATGGCTGTACATACAATTAAAAGTTTTCAGACCTAAAATTTTTATTTTTGTTTATAAATGCTTGTTGCAAAATAAAATTCATATATTTGCCTTGATAAAGTCCATCAGAGGACGAAACAAGTTGATTAAGATAAGTTTTTCTTTTTGTATTTATTCGCAGACACGCGCACACACAAATACGTACAGACACACACACACACACACACACATTAGAGATATGGATGAATGTATGTATATATATATATATATATATATATATATATATATATATATATGTATATGCATAGATATATGAATAGATAGACAGATAGATAGGTAGATAGTAACAGACTGAGAGAGATAGATAGATGTTAACAAACTGAGAGAGATAGATAGATGTAAACAGACCGAGACAGACAGACAAACAGATAGATAGATAGATAGATAGATAGATAGATGTGAACAGATAGAGTTAGATAAGAACAGACTGAGATAGATAGATAGATAGATAGATAGATAGATAGATAGATAGATAGATAGATAGATATATAGATAGATGTGAACAGATAGAGTTAGATAAGAACAGACTGAGATAGATAGATAGATAGATAGATAGATAGATAGATAGATAGATAGATAGATAGATAGATAGATGTGCACTCGCCGGTAAATATTATTGTGGTTTGTAGCGAGAAAGTATCTCGCATTCGCATCTCGTGCGTACGTACACACTCACACACACATTCACAGGCACGTACACGCAGACACTCATGCGCGCGGACACATACAAATTTGATGCGTGTGAGAAATACATTGTAAATAAATGAAATTCTTGCCATAGATAATAATAATTTTTTTTTGTATTTCTCTTGATCACAAAACTCTTGAAAGTCTTGCAGACAGCAATTTACTCGCCGTTGTTTTTAAGAGAATTCGACTCATTCCTGTTCCCTAAAAATTGGTGGATGTAATTCGCACGCGAGCGGAAAAAAACAAACATGTATTATCGATGAAGAAGGGACAAATAATAATAATAATAATAATAATAATAATAATAATAATAATAATAATAATAATAATAATAATAATGTTTGTGTGATCATAGTTTGTTTTTTTATTACAAAAATGATCAGTGGAAAAAGCATTAAGTCATTTCTGATATTAGGGTCTCTGGTTGGGACCCGGAAAGGAATGTATATGCGTCAGAAATCCAAGGAAATAATAATAATAATAATAATAATAATAATAATAATAATAGCAACAACCACAGTAATAATAATAATAATATGTAAGATTCGGTAAAGGTATAAAATGAAATAACTTTGCAAATAAATAAGAAAATAAATAAGAAAGAAAAGGCAACTTACTTGATCTTTTTAGAATTTACTTCTTTAAGGTTCTATTCTCGCAGGGATTTTTCCTCCCCACAGGCAAACAATGTGAATACTCCAAGGAAAAAGTCCGCAATTTTTTCTTCCGCAGTTTCAGGTTGAAATGAAGTTTGGTGAAATTTTTTTTTTTTTTAAAGACTTTCCGGATTCCGGTTCTATATGTTTTGTGTTGTTTTTGATCTGAAATCGCTTCTTTTTTTTCTTTTTTTTTTAAACAGGCGAAATATCCAAATAATGATTTGAAGATCTCTTCATAAATAATACTGATGGGTAGGTGAGTTTCATTAATGTCAGAATGAAAAACACTGGGTGGGAAAAATAATATGAACTGGTAAAATATGGAATATCCAAAGTTAATCGATAAGAATAGTTGATGAAAAACAACAATGAAAGAAAATACTGATTTTTTTTTCTTATTTTAAAAACAATATTTACATAAATACATTAATCTGAATTCATACATTTGATAGCATGTGTGTGTGTGTATGTGTGTGCGTGTGTGTGTGTGCGTGTGTGTGTGTTTATATGTGTGTGTCGGAAAATAAATCTTAGTTGTTAATTTTTAAGAAAATAAATAAATTCAGTTTCGATTTAAGTAATCGAAGGAAATGTTTAATTGATTTTAATTTACTAATGTGCATAAAAAAAATTAAATACGAATAAAACTGAACCACATAAATAATAATAATAATAATAATAATAATAATAACTAAGAGTATATATAAAACTCTGACTATTTGTTTTTTAGTTAAATGCTTTCACTTGTAAAATGCCGACAATGATAATGAAGCAAAACTGAAATATTTCGTTTATAATAATAATAATAATAATAATAATAATAATAATAATAATGAGAACAATAATAATAATCCGACAATTGTTAGCGTCCTATGATCTAGCTTTAAGTTGCGGTGAAGATCTGTACGGGTCTGTTTCTGTAAACGGAAAGAGAGAACGTTAGAGAAAAAGGGAGACGTGCACAGCGAGCTTTCCGTTAGAAGCAGACGATTGCTCTTCTTGATTTCAATACCTGTCCCATCTCTCTCTCTCTCTCTCTCTCTCTCTCTCTCTCTCTCTCTCTCTCTCTCTCTCTCTCTCTCTCAGTTTACTCGGCTCCGTTGGCGATGATAAGGAATAGAGAAAGTTGCATTTAGTACAAGTATCATAGTGTCGGAGAGATGATGACGATGTCGTTAACACGCTGATGACAACGATCACGACAAAGGCTGGTACTATTCGGAGTTGTAGTCGTTCGTTGGAGAAGTGATGCCCGTATTAACAAATAACCGCCTTTTCACTTACGCATTTTTTTTTTCTTTTCTTACTCCTCCCGTTATTTTTTTTTTCTTCTTACATTTGTTTTAATTCAAAAGAAAGTCACGTTTGTTTGTTTGTTTTGTTTTTTCTTTCTTTCTGAGTGAGAGATTGTATCTTCTCTTTCTTTTTTTATTTTTATTATTGTCGGCAGTTGAATGGCGGGAAACGTTCTCTGACACCCTAGACGCTTCTTAGCAGGTGCATGTGCGTTCCTGGACGGACCATTCTGATTATTTTCTTCTGAGTGTGCGTAACTCTACGGCGATACGCGTGTGCAGGTGTCGGTCTCAGCCTCTCTCTCTCTCTCTCTCTCTATATATATATATATATATATATACTAGTGTGCTCAAATTCGATTAGCGTAACAACTGTAAAAGATAAACTTTCGTTATTTACGTTTAGTTTGCGTCATATTAAACTAAGCCTAGTAAATATCGGTCCATACGAGGTGGGGAGAGGTGTATCGGTGTACATCAGTAACAAGCATTAGTTAGTTCAATTCCCAGTGGGTACCCTGTACTTGTGGTCAGATAACACTAAATTTAGTCCATATTGATCAGCTTTATATATCCGCAAGATGCCAAAACTTTCCAAATACAAGTTTTTGAAATACATCGATATTATTTTATAAAATATTATTTTTCTCAAGGCGGGAAAATAACTGCATATATAGAATTGATATTTTTGCTACTACGAAAAGATTTTCACGTGTGAGTTTGTAAATATATTTTTTCCAATGATTATTGTTGTACAAGGATCCACCGTTGTCTATCATATGAAACCGGGGTGACGGGAAGGTCAGAGATTCGGATAATATATATCTGAATATATATATAATAAACAGACAGACAGAAAGACAGACAGACAGACAGACAGACAGATAGATAGATAGATAGATAGATAGATAATGAACATATCAAGAGAGATAACTAGATAATGAATAGACTGAGATAAAGAGATATATAGATAGATGGACACAGTTATAGACAGACACAGTTAAAGATATGTATATATATATATATATATATATATATATATATATATATATATATATAGATAGATAGATAGATAGATAGAGATAGATAGATAAATAGATAGACTCAGTTATACATATATACAGATACAAATATATATATGTATATATATAAAGAGAGAGAGGTAGATAAATAAATAGACACGGTTATAGATAGATAGATAGATAGATAGATAGATATAGGTAGACACAGTGATATACATACACACACACACACATATATATATATAGAAAGAGAGAGGGAGAGAGGTAGATAAATAAATAGACACAGTGATAGATAGATAGATAGATAGATAGATAGATAGATAGATAGATAGATAGATAGATAGATTGAGACATATATATATATATAGAGAGAGAGAGAGAAATGGGGGAGAAGGAGGAAGAGAGAGGAAGCACCTGAAAATGTTATATTTTATAATTTATAAAAAACTACGTTTCAGATCATGACGAAGACTCATATAGAATTTTGTATTGCATCAGCCTGAAAGAATTTAAAAGAATATCATCTCTTAATTAGGATTATCAAATAATCATGTGTCTTCACAGCTACTAATCTCTAATATCTGTTCTTGGAAAAGAGAGTGGAGAGATTTTCCATTGTCTTCTGAACAGTGTTAAGTTTTACAGTCCTCCCTTTCATAGAAAGATTGCCCTAAAAAGGTTAGCAAGCCCAGTCTTCTCTACTGTATTACACATTGTTGAGTGGGGTGGGGAGAAAAAGACAGTTTCGTGTCTTTCCCAAAGTTTGAATTTATTGCAACAACATAAACTTTGGAATTTGAACTCGGCTCGTTGATTTCATTTTAAGTGTCAATAAACGCTATGCCAGCCGCACATCCAAAAATAAAATGAAAGAGACATGGTGAGTTTGTTCACAAAGGTACCCACGGTGGAGGCACTCTTGGTAGTCAGAGACAAACTGGCCTCGGATTCCTCTCTAGGAGAACGGACCAGTATACCAATAGATAACTTGATGGGGGTGCTGTACGCAAACAACATACCTCAGAATGGAATCAGACATATATCGACAGAATGAGGGCTTATCAATGGGCTCACCATTATCACCTGCAATGAATATGACAATGAAGATGAGAATAACTGTCTGAATAATGTAAATAATGCAAATAATAAAATGAAAACGTAAAAATGGTATAGAATATTTTAAATAATACTCCCAAAATCTGGGTGAAACATATTTTTCAAGATGAAAAAATGTTTTTAAAACTTAAAGTATTTTTTAAAAAGAAGGGTGTTCAGAATAGTTACAATATTAACCAGAGATAGTGTCCTTGGGCATCGATGAATAAACAAAAATGTTTCTGAGCAGCTGTCTGCAGTAGGGATTGAGTAACCATCATAGTATACACATGTGCTTGGAAAAGTGTAACCGACAATTATATATAAAGGTTGTTTCATTAAAGCGGATTATATATAAGAGTGTTTCATTAAGACGGATCAAAGTCAGCAGTAAATAAATCAGTGTTATTGTCGAAAATTTATTTATTTCTCTATTTGGATCATGTTATTTAAGTCATGGCAATTATGTGTGAAAAAATGATATCGTCCAAATGTCTGCCAAATCCGGAAGAAAAAGAAAAACATTATTAGATTTTTAAACTTAATTCACATTTAAAATCGGTCCAAATTATTGGATCATCCTTTATTTGGATGAGAAGTTATTATTATCTCTAATATTCTCACTAGACTATAGTGTCCCGTATGACAGTGGAGGAAATCGCGTGGGTTCGGTAATTTTCTGACATAGTAAATGCAAGTTCAAACTCTATGACTTGTAGTGCAGACTTAGGGTGGAAACAAAGCGAGTCATCAAAAAAAAAAAAAAAATTAAGTATTAAAAGAGATATCCGTAAACATGGGTAGAAAAACGAGAAAGTGTTACCCATCACCCCGTAGATTAAATTTGAGGATAAGCTTGAAATTCCCTGAAGATTACACAGATTAACAATCGCATGAAAAAACCCAGGGAACAAAACGGTCGAAGAGTTAATACTAAGAACAAAGATGAGGAGAATAGTCTGAACGTAAATAATATATATATATATATATATATATATATATATATATATATATATATATACGCGGCTCTCTTCCGTCGAATTCGACGTATGAAGGTCAAGCAGATCAGTTCTAGGAAACCGACAGCCCAACAACAGCACATGAGATTTGATTATAGTGGTGAAGGTTTCGTGCAGGACCATCCACACTTTTTGAAGGGCCGAATACAGAGACCTGGTGCACTACATGCCACAAGATCCCCAAACGACCCTGCGCAGGTTTTGAATTCAGAGTTGTTCTTCTCCTAGACCAGTCGCCATCCAAGGCTATAGAACCCAGTCTGTCCTGCTATTTACACATAACTGGAAGGAGAAGAAGAGGATTCACACCTATATATATATATATATATATATATATATATATATATATATATATGTGTGTGTGTGTGTGTGTTTGTGTGTGAAAAATTTCTCAGAGCTAATGACAATATGAATAGAATAGAGTTTTTCTAAGTTCTTCTAGTTGCTAAGGAAATTTTGTTTTGTTGTTAATAGTTATTTTGTTTTTGTTTTAATAAATTCATTTCGTTTTTGCCTTGAAAATGTCCACATTCGACGGAACGCGTCGGCTAATAATACAGTTTTCTTATTGTCTTTTACGTTTATGCATACATATGTATGTATTTATGTATATAAATAGTATATATATATATATATATATATATATAAAGAAAAAACGGTAAGATATATAATCCGGTGTTCTTATAGATAATTTTAGTTTTACAAAATAGTGCTAAAAAAAAATTAAATTTGGACCTTCCATTTTTGAAACATGGTTAGAACTGTGTAGCGGAAAAACCATATATTAAATCAATTAATTTATAATATATATATATATATATATATATATATATATATATATATAATGGAAAGCGTCTCAGATTGAGTCGGGGTCGAATCCCAATTGAGTTTGTCACATTCACTTACGTGAAAATCACCTTCGGAAATGTATGGATCCACATCACCCCAGTCCAGCTATAGAAGAACATATTGAGTCCTATGGTCTTGGTTGGCAACCGGTCTAGGAGAAAAACAACTCTGATTTCAAAAGCTGAAGAGGCTCGTTTGGGGAACCTTATGGCACATTATGTGCACCCGTTCTCTCTATTCGATTCTTCTGAAAACTGTTTTTTGATTCTGCACAAGCATTCACAGTAATCAAACTATATGTGCAGTATACTCGAAAACGACGGAAGTGTCAGTATATATATATATATATATATATATATATATATATATATATATATATATATATATAGATAGATAGATAGATAGATAGATAGATAGATATTTAAGAAAACAATGCTCAAATACTGCTGCAATACTCAAATACTTAAAGTTTCATGTTTACTTTAGGTTTGTCACATAATCTGCAGGCAGTTCAAGGCCAGGATACTTAATTCTATATTTTCTATATAACGTTTATGTTGCGGAAAGGCCACAATTTGAATATCCTCTTCTTATATATTAATCATATCTGCCTGTCTGAATCAGCTTCATTAAGCGAGAGCAAGATCAAAAAGGTCAGCAAATCTAATAGTGATCTCATCCCACAGTCCTTACTCTTGCTCCATATGTGACCTCCTTTGTAAATCGCTAGCAGGTTTTAAGTGCCACTTAAGATTATCGCACAAAATTTCATAACTGAAACAATTAACAAGTCCATTATCATTATTATTATTATATATATATATGTATATTTGCACACATTTTATATCACAGAATTTATATATTGTTTTAAAATGACGGAGCGCATTCTTTAAAAGAAAACTTTTTATTCAACAATTCTTCATAATGATTCGTTCGAACAAAAATTAAGCTGTCAGATCCTCATACGTCGAAACTGATGGGAGAATCCATTATATATATATATATATATATATATATATATATATATATATATATATATATATATATATATATATATGCCATATTCTAGTAGATAACATATTTTGTGGCAATCTTGTGCGTGTGATAATACTTTTAACAGTGTATACGTTTGCTTCAAAAAAAATAATATATAGGTATGTGTGTTTTATATGTATATATAGGGAGATGAGGGTGCTGAAAAGTTCTACTTTCGACTCACAAATCAATGAGAAAAACCAATCAACCGGAAAAAAAGTTTAATGAATATTTCGGAATGAATAGGCAAATATTTTGAACTTTGCGGTGAATAAGTAAAATAACATGTACATTTCATGGCTCACAGTTATTCCCTTCTTCCTCTGGCCAAGTACTTTAAGCACTTAACTCTCTCTCTCTTTCTCTTTCTCTCTCTCTCTGTCTGTCTGTCTCTCTCTCTCTCTCTCGCTATATATATATATATATATATATAGTACAGGTAATCGATCCGTTGGTATATAATCTGAGTGGATCCTAGTAATATTAATTACTAAAACTGATCCACAGAGAGCCCGAAGTATTTATTATAACAGAGCATATGTATTTTTTACAGCAAAAAACGAAAATTACCTCGACATAGTCTGTATGCGGCTATCATCAGCCGCTTAGAACGTCTTGAAATATAGATTTGGGGCTGATGATAGCCACGTACAGAACGGCTTGAAATAGACTATACTTTTTTTTGCTGTAATATATATATATATATATATATATATATATATATATAGAGATAGATAGATAGATAGATAGATAATATATGTATAAGTAACTATACTCGTCTGGAAAAATCTTAGGTAATTTGGCTTGTAAATGAACAAACCAATACCCAAGGAAAAATAAGGGATAAAAAAAGAAAGAACTAAGAACATGTAATTGAGGTGAAAACAATCGTCCAGAATCCAAGCTCAGTGTCCAAAGAAAAAAAACCTCCAAAACCAAACAAAAGTAACTACGTAAAGTGCTCAATACACTAAGTAGAGCAAATCTAACTATGAACCTAAATAGCCAAGCAAACCTACCTAGGTTTCAACTATACGGATCGTCAAAGTCGACTGGCCAGCGTACCCTGACGATCTACGTAGGTGAAACCTAGGTAGGTCTGCCTGGCTGTTTAGGTTCATAATTATATATATATATATATATATATATATATATATATATATATATATATAAAGGATGACAGACAGACACAGATAGAGATTGATTGATAGATAGAACAGAATTAAATAGATAGATAGATACATAGATAGAACAGATATAGATATGTATGAATGGAATTAGGTACTCCACCGTGACTACATATATATATATATATATATATATATATATATATATATATATATATATATATATATATATATGTGTGTGTGTGTGTGTGATCAAATTTCATAGCGGTCTTTTTTTGAAAAGTAGGAA